GTGACCAACACAACAGAGGCCGCCGAGTGGACTAACCCAGCCCATCATTCAAGCAGACGGCTGGGAAATGCCGCGTCTGCTGATATCTGTCAACAAGTCATTGCCAGGACCTGCCATGGTGGTAAATACAAAAAAATAATACATTTTACTATGATGCGGGGCTATGAAGGTCAAAAGGTCATATTTCGCTTGACCAACATGCTGACATATATTTTTTTAATTACCTCTTGTTGTACGAAGGTTGAAATGTCGTATTTCTCTTGACCAACAGTTTTTATACTGACCATTATTTTTTAATTACCTATATGTGTACGAAGGGCAAAAGGTCATATTTCACTTGACCAACATGTTGACTACTATTTTTTCTAACTACCTCCGGTAGTATGGAGGTCATAAGGTCATATTTCACTTGCTGATTATTATTTTTTCTAATTACTTCTAGGTGTACGAAGGTCAAAAGTTCATATTTTACTTGACCAACATGCTGAGCATTATTTCTCTGATTACCTCCAGGTGTACGAAGGTCAAAAGGTCATAGTTCACGTGACCTACAAGCTGACCAGCCACTCGCTGTCCGTACATTTTCCACGGCCTTTACCAGAGGGGCACGCCCTGGATGGACGGGGTCAGCTACGTCACACAGGTACACACGTCATGATGACGTACTTAATGTAGGGACTTGTTCATCAATGACGTCACACTCCTAAATAGAGGTTGGGGGTGTGGGGGTTTTGGGAATTTTGTGACGATCTGTGAGGAAGGACTGGGGAGACTTAGGGTTCCCGCTTCCAAACCTGACGGTCTGTGGGGCAAGTGAAGTAGAGTTCACCTGTTTCTGTGACCTCGGCATATGAAGTGAAGTGATAGTGTGAGCAGCCGAATGTACTTGTTTCACAACAAAAACTCCGATGGGGGGTGGTGCGGCAGGCTAGGCTTTAGTGTGACGTCATTTATGTGTCATTTGACATTTTGTGACTTTGTGTGTTGTGGGGGGGGGGGTAGTAAAAGACTGTAGAAAACATGAAAACATGTCTATAACTCCACAAGAAATGGGACGGAGTGGTCTAGCGGTAGAGAGCTGAACTGCTAACCCTTAAGTCTCGAGTTACGAATCCGGGTTCAAGTCAGTAAACCGTCCTTGAGTCCACCCAACTCTGATGGGTACCTAACTCACATTAGGGAAAGTAAAGGCAGCTGGGCATAGTGATGACCACACTATCACTTTACAGAAACAAGTGAACTCTACTTCACTTGCCCCATAGACCGTCAGGTTTGAAAGGGAAACACTTAACTCCACAAGAGAATCACTATATTTTTAAAAAATGTACTAAACACCAAATAAAAACTTCTGATTTCCAGTGTCCCATAACTCCGATGCAACAGTTCACCTACAAGTTTGAAGCCTACCCACGCGGCACGTTCTGGTACCATTCCCACCTGGGGACCCAGATAGCCATGGGGCTCTACGGCCCTTTGATCGTGAAGGAGCGGGATCCGCAAGCCATGGAAGAGTTCGTCATGATGCTTCAGGTTAGGGGGTATTTTGCTACCGAGTTTTTTTTCTTTAGTTGTTTTTTTTTCAAAGTACTAAAAAATGCATAGAAAACGGATTAAATACTAAGAATAGAGTTTCAGAAACCAACCACGCTTTATTTTTAGTTATTTAAATAGTAGTTTAGGAAAATAGACTTATGTGGTGGTGGGGGGGGGGGGAAGGGGGGATAGATCGGACCAGAGAGGTTAATGTTGGGCTAATAACCGGAGGTTATTGATCGGGGGTTATTGACCGGGGGTTATTTACCGGGGGTTATTGACCGGGGGTTATTGATCGGGGGTTATTGACCGGGGTTAACGTTAAGCTCCCATTACGTGTATGCCAATGCGCAGTGGCGTAGCGAGGTCGGGTGTCACCTGGTACGGCACTTAATGGTGTCACCCCCCCCCCCCCCCCCAAGGGGACAAACTTTCAAATTTTCGATTTGCACCCCCTCAAACTTTCGATTTGCACCCCCTCAAACTTTCGATTTGCACCCCCCCCCCCCTCAAGTTTTCCTCTATATATTTTACTATTTTTTGCCTTGGTGTCACCCCCCCCCCCCCCAAATGGTGTCACCCGGTGCGATCCGCACCCCCCGCCACCCCTCGCTACGCCTCTGCCAATGCGAACAAGATATTCAAAATGCGTCTAAAAATGTTTTTCTCTGACTGGCTGTAAATATTTCCAGGATTGGAACCACGATATGGACGCCGATCTGATCCACTTTAAAGTCTGGTTTGGGAACTTCATCAACAGGACCAAAGTTCCCCCAAGTCACTCGCTAGATGGCGCTTTTTACAGGTACAGCTTTAACCAGTGGCGTAGCCAGGATCGTCTCAAGGGGGGGGGGGTTCCAATTTTTACCCGGGGACAAACTTTCGATTTGCACCCCCCTCCCTCAAACTTTCGATTTGCACCCCCCCCCCCCCTCAAACTTTCGATTTGCACCCCCCCTCAAACTTTCGATTTGCACCCCTCCCCTCAAACTTTCGATTTGCACCCCCCTCATACTTTTTATATATACCGAGGGGTCTATAAGGGGGGTTTTGACCACCCCTAACCCCCCCTGCCTACGCCACTGGCTTTGACTATACTTTTCTATTTAACAATGTTAAGTATAGGTAGACTAGCCATCGGTACCCGTTACACGTGAATTACATTTCTTATATTTTTAGATTAGGATATTTAAAAAAAAAATCATCCTGACTGAGCATTTCAGACTACCACTTTTAGAAATTTAGAACACAATTATCACGACGTTAAGAAAACTTACTAAAAATGAGGTGTTTTGATAATATAGTAGGCATAACGGTCCCTATCACACATTAAAGAAAACTTACTAGAGCGAAGTATTTAGCTAGTTACAGTAGGCCTAACTTTCTCTAACAAACGTTAAGAAAATTTACTAGAGCGAAGTATTTAGCTAGTTACAGTAGGCCTAACTTTCTCTAACAAACGTTAAGAAAATTTACTAGAGCGAAGTATTTAGCTAGTTACAGTAGGCCTAACTTTCTCTAACAAACGTTAAGAAAATTTACTAGAGCGAAGTATTTAGCTAGTCAAAGTAAGCCTAATTTTCCCTATCGCATGTTAAGAGAACTTACTAAAACGAGATGATTTTACTTTTAACAGCACATTTCCTTATCACGCTGGGTTGATCAACGGGAAAGGGCGCTTTCACTACGGGAACGGGAGCCACAACGGTGCCCCGCTCTCCATATTTACAGTCACTAATGGTACAGACTACAGGTAACATGTAGAGCCTATGTACTTCATAGTACCTCAGGTAAACAAAACAATAGCTAGTAGTACACAATACAGGTAACGTGTAGAGCCTATGTACTTCATAGTACCTCTGGTAAACAAAACAATAGCTAGTGGTACACAAAACATGTAACATGTAGAGTACTTTTTAGTACCTCAGGTAAACAAAACAATAGCTAGTAGTACACAATACAGGTAACGTGTAGAGCCTATGTACTTCATAGTACCTCTGGTAAACAAAACAATAGCTAGTGGTACACAAAACATGTAACATGTAGAGTACTTTTTAGTACCTCAGGTAAACAAAACAATAGCTAGTGGTACACAATACAGGTAACGTGTAGAGCCTGTGTACTTCATAGTACCTCAGGTAAACAAAACAATAGCTAGTGGTACACAATACAGGTAACGTGTAGAGCCTATGTACTTCATAGTACCTCAGGTAAACAAAACAATAGCTAGTGGTACACAATACAGGTGACATGTAGAGCCTATGTACTTCTTAGTACCTCAGGTAAACAAAACATACATTTTCAAAAAGTATCAAGATGCTACACGTTAAATCTATGTTAACTTTTACACTGTTAACAAAAATATGTTAAGTTGTATAATTTAAACCAGTGTTAACCTCTACAATGTAAACAAATGTTAACCCCCTATCCCCTACAGATTCCGTGTAATCGGAGCCAGTGGCATGTACCCCTTCAGGATCTCCATTGACAACCATCCACTTCTGCTGGTGGCATCCGACGGGTAGGTCTAGACGTTTCTTGGCTCTATTTGTGTTGTACACGGTGTAACTTGAACATCTCCAGTCAGTTTTGTTACATCACCATTCTACGACACTCTACCAGCTACAGCTGTTAGTACAGCAGGCGTATCTAGTTACATGATAACTCAACCTCAATCCAAACCTAAATATACACACACACACACACACACACACACACATATATATATATATATATATAAGTGTAATATATATATATATATATATATATATATATATATATATATATATATATATATATATATATATATATATATATATATATATATATAAGTGTTATATATATATATATATATATATATATATATATATATATATATATAACACTTATATATATACATATATATATGTATGTATGTATATATATATAAAGGGCCTATATATATACACATATATATTATGTATATATATAGGGCCTATATATAGGGCCTATATATATATATACACACACACATATATATATATATATATATATATATATATATATATATATATATATATATATATATATATATACATATATAAAGCTCCATAACACTGACTTCCATTGAACTTTACTCCCCCTCCCCAGGTATGACTGCCAGCCGAGGGTCATCGAGTCGGTCGTAGTCCACCCCGGGGAGAGGTACGACTTCATCATCACAGCCAACCAGACGGTGGGGAACTACTGGATCAGGGGCGTCACCATGGAGTCGGGCGTCGACCACATTTCAGAGGCGATTCTCAGATACACCGGCGCCCCGATAGAGGAGCCCAATTCTACTAGGCGCAACTGTACAGAAGATGATAGGTTAGTTCCGTTTCACATGATGTTACTTCTTGTTTCTGTTGAGTTTGTTTACACGCTGTTATTGGTGTTTTTTTTTTTTTTTTTTTTGCTTCTACATAGTTTCACTTCGTTCTGCTAATCTAGTTTTCTTTTTTAAAAATAAATGTAGTCGCGTTATAAGTATTATTAAACCAGAGAAAAAACAACGTAATTATTCTATTTCAAAACGGACACTATGGTCGCAAACTTCAAAGTGTTATGCCAAAAATTACAACTTAATGGTTAAAAAATGCAAATGGAAGTAAACTTACTCGGGAATTTCGCTTACCACATAATTTGATTTTTTTTTCTTTGCAAACCTTTCACTACTTGCTCTCGCTTAAAACATATAATAGTAAACAAAATACCTCGTGAGAAGACGCTACTTTCCTCTCACACATTAAAAATATCCTTCAAATATTACGGTTCTCGGGGTAGTTGAAGTTGAGTTCACCTATTTTATAAAAGGAATAGTGTTGTCTGCACTTTTAATTTTCCTAAAGTAAGCCAGGTACCCATCAGAGCTGGGTAGACTCGATTCTTTCCAGTTAGCAGTCGAGTTGCCACATAGTTCCAACTTTACCTCGGGTGCTGTATCAATACGGTTGTAGAACATTACATAACGTCCAGACCATCTACTCGACTACTGTATCAACACGGTTGTAGTGCATTACATAACGTCTAGATCATTACTTTTGTAGAACATTACATAACGTCCAGACCATCTACTCGACTACTGTATCAACACGGTTGTAGAACACTACATAACGTCTAGATCATCTACTCGGCTACTGTATCAAGACGGTTGTAGAACACTACATAACGTCTAGACCATTTACTCAGCTACTGTATCAACACGGTTGACATAACATGATATAACATCTGTGACACCCCCCCCCCCACAGGTGTTTGGTCATGAACTGCCCCTTCACCTACTACCCGAAGAACGACAACATCACCTGCCTACACCTGGATGACCTAGCCTCGACCAACAGAACCAGTGCCCAGCCCGGCAGCGAGAGTAAGGCGGACAGTGTGGAGGAGGTGTTCCTCAACTTCGCCTTCCCAGGGGACGCCTATACCCCAGGCTCCGTCAACGGACGAGAGTTTGTGGTAGGTTGGGGTAATTTATCACAGGGGTGTAGGGAGGTTGGGGTGTTTTGTCACAGGGGCGTAGGGAGGTTGGGGTGTTTTATCACAGGGGCGTAGGGAGGTTGGGGTATTTTATCACAGGGGCGTAGGTGGCTCCCTGGGCTAGTATGATTCATAAAACACACACACTAATCAGCTGGCAAGAGTCACCTCAGCCTTGTTACGTCACGTATTTAAGAACACTAGTAATCAAGCAAAAACATTTCAGACAAAAAGATAAAACTAAAATTTTTTTTTTAAAATTCCAGGTGCCGCCCGTGTCGTCCCTCACACAACCCCAGGACATCACCTCACACTGTCAACCAAATCAGTGTGGGGAGGACAGGAGATGTGCGTGCACATATACTATAGATTTAGTAGTAAGTTGTCGCCCCTGACATATTTGTCTGGAAGTTGTCGCCCCTGACAAATTAGTCTAAAAGTAGTTTGTTGTCCCTAACATGTTTGCCTATAAGTAAGTTGTCACCCTGATATATTTGTATGAAAGTAAGTTGTCACCCCTGACATATTTGTCTAGAAGTAAGTTGTCACCCCTGAGAATAATTGTCAAGAATCAAGTTGTCGCCCCTGACATATTTGTCTAGAAGTTAGTTGTCACCCCTGAGATAATTGTCAAGAATTAAGTAGTCGCCCCTGACATATTTGTCTGGGAAGTTGTCACGCCACCCTTTTATATGGCGAGGTAAAAAAATCTCTACCTCATCCAGAGGCGTAGCGACCCTTCCTGGCGCCCGGGGACAAACTTTCAATTTGGCGCCCCCCTCGGAACTTAATTTTAATTTGCACCCCCCCCCCCCCCCCCACCCTAAAAATTTCGATTTGCACCCCCCCCCCCCACCCTCAAACTACTTATAGTGCAAAAAATGCAGCTAAAATGACATTTTAATTTGTTTTTACAACCCATTTTGGCGCCCCCTAAGGTCGGCGCCCGGGGACATATGTACCCCCCCCTGCCCCCCCCCCCCCCATCGCTACGCCTCTGACCTCATCTGCTCTGTAGAATGCTGAGTTTGAGAGGAACTTTACTTTTAAGTTGGCTCCCCTGGTATGTTGTCTGGAAGTACGTTTGATTTTCTAATCCGTTTTAAATGTGAGTAGTCCTCTACTGACTTGTTTCTTAGGTAACGAGTTGTCACCCCTGATCTATTTATTTTTAATAGTTAGTAAGTTATAACCCCGTTGTCATTCTCTATTTAACAGTACAACAAAACCTATCAACTAATTCTCCTGAACATGGGCAAGGGGAAAGGCTTCTCTCACCCCATTCATTTGCATGGTCACTCTTTTCAAGTGGTCAAACTAGGATATCCACCATATAACGAAACAACAGGTAGGCTTATATATATATATATATATATATATATATATATATATATATATATATATATATATATATATATATATATATATATATATATATATATATATATATATATATATATATATATATGCATATATATATATATGCATATATATATATATATATATATATATATATATATATATATATATATATATATATATATATATATATAGACTTCAATATCTTTTATTTATAAATAAATCGATATGGTCATGTGGTCATTTAGAGATATCTATGTGTACCAGGTCAAATAATGGGCGATAACTTGGACATCAACTGTGGAGGTAACCCCAACAGGTCGCTCAGCTACTGCAACCAGGCCAAGTGGGCCAACAGCTCGTGGGGTGGCAACAACGTACCCGGCCTCAACCTTCTGACGCCGCCCAGGAAAGACACAATCCTGGTGCCAACAGGAGGGTAAAGAAATTGTAGTTTTAAACAAATGGGTGTTCCTGTATAGCAAAGTGGCATAGCTAGATCTAAACAGCGGTAAAATAAGCCTGATTCACTCCCACAAACTGAGCATACAGCACCATGTGTAGCAATGTAGCATAGATACACAGCGTTAAAATAAATCTAATTCATTCCCACAAGCGAAGCAGACAGCACCATTTACAGCACCATTAATGCAAGCCTTTTACTTTGAATATGCTAAACCCAAACTCCACACGACCACCACTTAAAGTCAAGCTTCATTAAACCAGCCACGTCACACTTGACTAAACAACCCGCTGCACTGCTTCATTAAGCACACAGAAAAGTTAAAATAGAACACATTACATAACATAAATGGAAAAAATGGCCGCATAGCAAAGTTAAAATAGAACACATTACATAACATAAACGCAAAAAATGCTCACATAACAGAGCTAAAATACAACACATTACATAACATAAACGGAAAAAATGCCCAATGCCCGCATAGCAAAGTTAAAATAGAACACATTACATAACATAAATGGAAAAAATGCCCGCATAGCAAAGCTAAAATAGAACACATTACATAACATAAACGGAAAAAAATGCGCACATAGAGCTAAAATACAACACATTACATAACATAAACGGAAAAAAATGCGCACATAGAGCTAAAATACAACACATTACACAACATAAACGGAAAAAAATGCCCGCATAGCAGAGCTAAAATAGAACACATTACATAACATTAATGGAAATATGACCTAGATTGTAAATTTTAAAATTAAGTGTTTAAGAATTCAAACCTCAGCATACAATTTTTAAAGATTAAAATCACAATCATCAGCTAACTTAAACATCCATCGAGTTTTGAACAATCATCTAACTTAACCCTTTATCACACCACCAACCCCCAGCTAACCTAATCTCTCTACCGCACCCCGCCCACACCAGGTACGTCGTGCTAAGGTTGAAGGCCGACAACCCCGGCGTCTGGTTCATGCACTGCCACATCGAGGTCCACGGCCTGGACGGGATGGCCATCATGTTCAACGAATCCTTCTCCAGCCACCCCAAGCCCCCACCATCTTTCCCCAAATGTGGGTCTTTCCAGTACGACAAGGAGGCTGGCTCGGATGCTTACACGGGTAATCAGACTGTCTCCAGTACAGATGATGGTAAGTGGCTAAGATGTGGGGGGGAGGGGGGGGAGATGTCAATAACACTGGGTACCAGGGACGTAGCGAGGGGGGGGGTGGGGGGTGCGGACCGCACCGGGTGACACCATTTGGTGACACTAAGGTAAAAAATAGCAAAATATATAGAGAAAAACTTGAGGGGGGGGGTGCAAATCAAAAGTTTGAGGGGGGGGGGGGTGCAAATCGAAAACTTGAGGGGGGTGCAAATTAAAAACTTGAAAGTTTGTCCCCGGGAAGGGTCGCTACGCCTCTGGGGGGGGGGTGACACCATTAAGTGCCGCACCGGGTGACACCCGACCTCGCTACGCCACTGCTGGGTACATATTATGTCTAGGGGGGTTTAAGACATATAAGTCCAGGAGATTTATGTCGGAGGGTTTATGTCCAGGGGGTTTATGTCGGGGGTGGGGGGAATAGAGGGGGGGTGTGGGAGGGATAGTCTGACCAAAGCAAGACTTGACTCCTCTAAGAAGAAATCTAGTGAAGCAATCAAATATCGAGTACGTTTATGTATAATCCCTCTCTAAGATGATTCGACAGCACTAGAAAGTTATATATATAAATCAGGGGAGCAGTGAACGCAACGAGATTGAAGTAGAGAGACAGGAAACATCTGATGCTCATGCTGCATTGTGTAGAGCGTGCTAGCCTGGCATTGCAACTTGGTTTTAATATATGTACACAATACAGTTTTAAGTTATTTTTTTTTGCAGACGAGTACGACAAAAGACTGTTCTGGATTGTCGTTGGTTGTCTTATCGGCTTAGTCGTCATCCAATTCGTTATCATCGTCGTCTTGTGTTGTAGAGGAAAGGTTGGAGGAGGTTCTGGGGAGAAATATGAGCTGAGCAACAACTCCAGGTTGTAGCAGGCCATCTGTGGTGAACTATAGCAGGCCATTTGTATCAGGCCATCTTTGGCATCTGTAGTAGGCCATCTTTGGCCAGCTGTAGCAGGCCATCTTTGG